TCTTCTGCCTTCAAACAGGTCCTCAGGGTTTACAGACAGCAGGCGTGGTATAAAAACTGCACAGCAGTTATCAGCAGGAGTAGAGGGTCCTCCACCTTCCAGCCATCTGTGGGATCTGCCCATCGAATATATGGGTGAATTCTCCCATAAAAGTCAGTACTGGGCATGCTTACCTGGCTTAATTATTTATTAATAATTTCACTGCCACGTTCAGCCTGATCCAGCACAGCTACATGGCTCCAGAGCCAAACCAGATTCTTCCCTGATAGTCTGTGGAGATGTGTATTTGTCATCTGCAATCTATCCCTCGATTTCTCTCATGTATCTTCAATGCTTTCTCTTGAAAGCTTTTTCAGATTTCCCTGGGCTTCTCCCTAACTTCTGTGAGCAGAGCCTCACACAGTTTAATTGTTGACATCTGTGTCAGGACAAGGTTTTTTTTTTACGTTCCCCTTGCTGCAGCACACGAGCTGCTACACAAAGGGCTGCCTGCCTGTGTAATGCACCAAAATGTGGAAAGCAGACCGTGTTTTTGGAGGGGGAGGTTTTGGGGGCATTAACTGTTTGTCATGTTTTTTCAGAGACAATTGCAGCTCCACACATGAAAATGCTGATAAATAAAAGGCAGCTGAGCAATGAGGTGAAAAGCTTTACGTACTCGGTTGGATAAAAGTGAATCTCTCCTCCTTTCCAGGAGTTTGCATTTTGGCTTCACGGTAAAGAAAAATCCAATTAAAAGGAAAAAAAGAAACTCACTTCTGATTTTTTTTTTTTTTTAAAGTAAAAGATGGGAAATGCAGGGGACTGGATTGATCTCCCTTTCCTGCCAGGCTGAACTCAAATCTGAAACATCTGCTCACATAACTTGAGACAAGCTCTTCCAGTCAAGTAATGTAAGCTCAAGCTCTTCCTGCCATCAGTGCAGAACTATCAGCTAAGCTTTTTGTGGAAACCTAAGAATCCAGACACTTCTCATGTTCCCTGCAAGCACTGAATAACGATGGGTTCTCACTACCAGCAAATCACTTGCAAAGAAAAATTAGCACCTTTTCCTAGTATTTGAAATCCTAAAATCTGTTTTTCTCTAGAATGACTGTGTACACATTATCCTTCAGGAGTTATCCAAACTGGGCAGTACCAGCTATATAAAACAGTATCTCACCCAGCACAGAGGGGTTAACTCAGGTGATTGCAAAGATCAAGGACGGGGGAAATACTCAGTTTTTAGCATAGAATCACAGATTGGTTTGTGTTGGAAGAGACCTTTAAAAGCCATCTTGCCCACCAAGCCCACCATCAGCAGGGACACCTTCCACTGTCCCAGGCTGCCCCAAGCCCTGTCCAACCTGGCCTTGAACACTTCCAGGGATGGGCAGCCAGAGCTGCCCTGGATAACCTGGTCCCACTGCTCAGTTCAATCTGCAAGGCAAAGAGCAGCACTTTAGCTGAAAGTACTGAGACCCCAATTTGCCTTCAGAACCTGCACACAGGCCTGGGGTCAGGGCTCCCAGCACTCACCACATCCCCAAGCCTGGCACAAGGGGACCCATGGCTCATGCAGAGCTCCATTCTGACATAAATGCCTGTGTGTAGGTGTGTGGAGAAGAAACAAGTCTCTGGCTATACAAGTACAGGCAGCCCAGAAACAGAGCAGATCAAGCAGGAAGCAGAACTGTGCTCTATCCTGAACCTGAGCCTGTTCCTGCAGCCCTCCAAGAGCTCTCTGTGTTCAACATGGTCTGGAGCACGAATCTCATCCTGTCAGGGAAACAGACTGGAAATCAGGGTTCGTTTCAGATTCCGATTCCAATTCTCTCTCTGTGTGTACAAGTCACTTTGTTCCCCTGCTGTTTCCTCCAGCCTCACATGACATGATGTACAAGTGGGGACTGTCCCCAGCTACAGACCTGCACAATGTCCCAGTCAGGGACCTGGACTGTAATTAAAGGGCTCTGGAAGCCACAGGGGAAAGAAAAAAAAAAGAAAAACAAACAAACAAACAAACAAACAAACAAAACCACAAAAAAAACCCCACACCCAAAATAATAATAATAAAACAAAACAAAACAAAACAAAACAAAACAAAACAAGAAAAACCCTGAGAGAAAAAAGAAAAGTGCATGTAGTTCACCACATGCAGTAGCTTTCCCGTGTGCAGGAATGCCATCCTGGTTATTTCTGCCTTCTCCCCACGCAGCAGTAGATGGAGCCCTGCTCCCCTGTTCTGGCCAGCGCGGGGATGCAGCAGCACCAGCGCTCCCAGCTGCAATGACCCTGCCAGGACCTGCCAGCACTGCAGGGGACAAAGCCGGGGATCACACAGGAGGGACCTCGGGCTCACAGCTCCTGCCTGACTCGTGGAATTCACTGAAACTTGGGACTAACAAAAGTATCCGACTGACCACAGTGTTACCTTTTTTTTTCCATTTAGGCATTGGGTAATGTTTCTTTCTTTTGTAAACTGTCATCAGGATTACATGGAATTCACCAGTTTTATTTATTTTGCAAAATAAGGAACTACAAGTTTTGCTTGCCATACTTAGAAAGAACATATGTAATAGTTGTATCATGGCTGTGAGCACTGCAGACTACATTATCCAGAGGATTTTCCAAGAACTAAAGGTCAGGATCCATGGCTAATTTCTCAGCCACTGCTTGCAGCTCTCATTCCTGCAGCTTGTGTGTGACAGGACAGAGAAGAGATCAGGGAACACTGGCACCTATGTACAACTTGGGAAAAAATTATAAATGTGTATGTTGATTTTCTCTCCCCACCTCCACCTCCAAGTGCTTCTGCAAGTGACACCAGTGCAGCCTGCACGGGTGCAGGCAGCCTCTGGAGCCATGCACCACTGGGCCACAACTACTGCTGCAGCTCCAGGAAGACACGTCACTTCTACAGCAACAGCTGACAAATGGAATATTTCAGAGCAGTAAGAACAAAATCCACAGAAACACAGAATATGCTGAGCTGGAAGGGACCCACCAGGATCACTGAGTCCAACTCCTGGTCTTGCAGAGTCACACAATGCTCCTGAAGGTATTGTCCCAATGCTCCTTGAACTCTGTCAGGCTTGATGCTGTGACCGCTGCTCTGGGAAGCCTGTTCCAGTGCCCAACGACACACTGCATTTAATATTTAACCTAAACCTCCTCTGACAACTTCAGGCCATTCCTTCAGGTCCTGCCACTGGTCACCACAGAGGAGAGATCACTGTCTGCCCTTCCTCCTCTCCTCATGAGGAAGCTGTAGACTGTGATGAGGTCTCCCTTCAGTCTCCTCCAGGCTGAACCCTCAGCCAACCCTCATCTGGCTTCCCCTCAAGGCCCTTCACCATCTTCATCATGTTTATCCAGCTGTGAGATGGACTGTTTGTCCAGAAGGATATTATGAGAGACAGTATTGAAAGCTTTACTGAAATCTCAAAAGATTACATCAAGTGGCCCCCCTTGATCAGCTAGGTGGGTTACTGTGTCATAAAAGAAAATCAGGTTTGAGAAGCAGGACTTTCCTCTCATAAAGCTGTGCTGGTTTAGACTGCTCACTCTTTCCAACAAATGTTTTGGAGGTTGTTTTTTTTGTGTTTTGGTTGGCTGGTTTAAAAATGCACCATGCACATTCTGCTTCCTTCTGCTGCTGCTTGACTGTAAATAAGAGCAATCCATGCTGCCAGGGAAGGCTATCCTCAAAGACAGTGTACAGCCTGTTGTTCTCTGGAAACATGTACTGCTAGACGAGAAATACATAAAACCACATTTTGTCTGGTTTTAGATTCTTTGAAGAAGACCATGTTATGCAGGTAGGAAAACTGAGAATATTGAAGAGTTACATGAGATGCTGGAGATTATATTTGCCAGCAAGGTAACTCAATATACTTCTATTCTGGCACTCAATAATTTAAGAGAGGCCCCCAGCAGTGAATTACAGGATGATTTGCTCACAGCAGCAGCTCTCCATACTAAAGAGGGGCCAGAACTTTCAGTTTGGCACTCACAACCACACATCTCATCTGCACAGTCCAGCTTCAAACTGTGAGTTTTTGCTGATTTTTCATTTCTCCAAATAGAAATTAACAGTAGAAGGGAGATGAGACACCCATCCCTGAAGAAAGGGGGTTTCTACTGATTAGCCTAGAAGTGATTTGCTTTCTGAATTCAAGAGCTTATGCTGCCTCTGATCCTGCCCCCTGATGCTGACTAGATATGATGGTCTGTTCATACAGGGTCCAAGCCCCAGCCCTAACTGAGTAAATAAAAATCTAGGTAAGGACTTCAGCATTTGATCTTTACAAAGCAGAAGCTAACAGCTTCTTTGTCTGCAGACAAATTAAATCCTTCAGAGTCGTGCAAATTAAACAGTCCTGCAGTCACGAGTGCTGGCATCTGGAAAGCTGCCACTAAGCCAATAATGGCATTGTCTAGCACAGCACAGAGGGAGGTCCCAGCATCCCAGAGCAGCCACACATCTGGAGACTGGGACCACAGCCATCAGCAACCCATGTTTAAGTAGCACATTCTTGCTCTTCCTGCCAGCTGCTCATCCTCTCTCACCACAGGCCAAGGGCAGAAGCCCACGAGCAGCAATGTGGTACTGGGGACAAACTGGAGCAGGCATGCACAGAGAAAGGTCCCTCAGTAGAACCCTGCCTGTCTGCATACACCTGCTTTATTCACTTCACAAAAACACGGGCAACTGGCTCGTTTGTCACACACCAAACATTTGAACAGGACACCAGCCACTTTCACTGGTTCCTTCAGGTATCTGTGAGGAGTGTAAAGTGCTGGGGATGACTGTTCCTGGCTTACTCCAGCCTGGCCATGGTACAAGTTTCTTGTGTGCAGCAGAGCCACATTGCTTAGGAATGGGAGGAGAATCAGAGCTAGGAAGTGGGAGACGAACCAAACGTGCAGATTATCACTCACAACCAGAGACAGAGAACAATTTCCAGAGAGGTGGGGATGGAGCTTGCACAAGGTATTCACCCTTTAATGCTACTCACCAGCAGCTGCCTGCAGAAGAAGAGCCCGGGCAGGGATGGGAAGACCAAAGCAGGGAACGTGCTACAGGAGCCAGCAGCAAGAACACAGATGTATGATACAGCTGTGGGAGGAGAAGCACACTCACATGAAACATCCATCACCACATGCACAGTGCTCCTGGGGGTGCCAGAGGTGGCTGATTCACAGCACTCCCCTCTGTAGTACAGAGAGCTGACAAGAGTTAAAGAGCAGAAGGAGATAAAGCACTAAAGAGAAGAGGGACATAAAATGCCAGAGAGGAGATATACATGAGTGTCCAAACACACACAAGGACAAGCTTGAGTAGAAAGAATGGACAGCTTTAGCACTGAATCACTGCTTCTCTTCCTGAAGTACCTGTCTTGTATTTGAAAAGACTTTCAAGGTACCAGGCTGCAGAAATCTGTATCACTGCTGAGCAAGCTGGATAGCACAGGGCAAACCAAGAGGAAACAGAGCAACCATGCACGAGGTTTCCACCACTCTATAGAAGAGCAGTTCAGGCTGGCTAAGGGTGGCTGGGAGAAGATCCTGCTCCCAAGGAAGAAAAAGGAAAGGAAATTCCAAGAAGTTTCTTGGCAGCCTGGTTCTGTACCCACTGACATCTACTGCAAGGGGTATTTGTTGCCTCAAGAGATGTACCATCAGTGCTGGCAATAACTACATGGTTAATTAGGCCATCTTCTCTCTTTGACAGTAAAAGAGACCCAAGTGTCTCAGATCCACCCAAGTAGATTTCTGTCCCAGCTGCCCCTTTCAGAACACTTGTCTGGAAAAAAAAGTCTTAGGATCAATCAGTATCTTATTCTCCAAGTTCATGCGTAAAACACCTGGTGCATCCACACAAGCTGCTGTTCAGTCAACTCTGATACTGATTGCTCATAGCAATGGCAAATGCACACAGGGCTCTCCACTGTAGGTGTATGCTTCAGAAAAATCTAGTCATCTTTGCCTGCAATTGTAGCAAGAAAATAAAACCTCAAAAAGAATCTGCAGGTTCTCCTATTTAATGTTTCAGTGCTTCTTGGTCAGAGGGATGGGCCTGCACCTATTGGTTTTCCCAGCAAATATAACTGCTGTCTTCCATGTGTGCAAGGCCTCCAGCAGTAGAGTTTAGCTGACAATTTCATCCCTTCAGAGACTTCACTTATTGGTACTGCATCATCTGCCTGTAGAATAAGGCTTTTACATCATGTCTGATTGGGAACATGAGCTTCCAAAAGCCCAGAGCTACATCAGGTGAGCTTTTTGTTGGCTTTTTGATAATGTTCCTTTGAGCTTGCCAGAGCAGGAGTTTGGCTCCTGCAGCACTGACTACAGGGGACACACCTGGCATGGATATCTTCAGGACTGGCCAGGTTCTTCCACCCATCAGGAGGAAGGGATAGCTTTTTCCTTGCTCAAGCTATGGATTACTGTAGCTAGGCATAACAGGGATCACCTCTGGAGGCCTGTGGTTTCCTCAGCACAGGGCCAAAATAAAGATTTTTGCCACCAAGGATGGCATCCTGGCCTTCTCTACCTGTAGCTTGTGCATTTCCTCTCTTTGGTCCCTTTATGCTCTCTTCTTCTGCTGCCACCTTGGTCTCTCCTGCCCATGATAGATCCCAAGCAGTTCACAGCACAGCAGATGGTGAAGGGCAGGAGACAGGAGGGAGCACTGGGAGGCTCATGCTCTCTTACTCCATCCATTTCTGGGAAGGTGACACTGGACCATGAATAGTGATGGTGTTAACACCACACAGGGCAGCAGCTCATGAGTTGGAATAGCAGCAACACTGACAGGACTCACAAGTCTCAGAAAAGAAAGCTGGTGTGGAACTGGCTTGTTCATCTTTTCCATGACAGGAAACATTTCAATCTCTGTTATCAGCACAAACACTGTCGGCTCTCATCACGCTTTGCAACTCGCCATACTCCATGCTGGACCCACATGAGTGAAGAATGCCAGAGTGATACTTTTGCCTTCCACAGGCTCAAAATGCAACACAACTCAACCCTCTGTTATGCTTTTCAGTCTCCAAAGTGCTCAGCTGTTCATTTTATGGTGTCACAGCCCATGGAGGGATCAGCCTTCTAAGTAAAGCAAGCTGGTCATCCGGAGCCAGCTGCTGCAAGGACCACAGGACAAGTGGCCTGTCCAGGGCCAGAAGCCCTTGGGCCAGTGGTGGCCACCAGCTGTCAGCCAGCCTGCCTGACTCAGTCAGACAAAAATCCTCCACTTTCAATCCAAACATATAACAACTGAGTAAAGAGGCAAGGAAGAAGAAGGGCAACCAGCTCTCACAAGTATCTACACAGCACTGTCTTCAGCTCCCATTTTTCAATTACTTTTCTGCTTTATGGCCCTTAACACAAGAGGAAAAATGGAGGTGAGCTGCAGAAAGCAATCAGTTTCTCAGCTTCTCATGCATTCACACCAAAGCAGAGCTTGGATCAGGGACACCCTCAGGAAGTGCTGGAAAACACATCCAAAGCTTTGTAAAGAATTGCTTTTACAGGTCACAGGTTGTTTTGGAAATCACAAGCAAAAGGCACTGAAGTGTAACAAGTTTTTGAAAGGTCAGCAGAAAATTCCTATTGCATTTCAGACACAATAAAACCTTATGACTTGAAAATGATAATCAGGAATACTGTAAAGAAGCCTTACCAGAAATCACAAGTGAATCCTAGAGACTTTGATCTAAGCTGGAATCTGGCTGCTTCAAATCTTGCTGCAGAAAGGTTCATAACCCTGAAATCAACAGAAAGGACACAGCAATAAAGTACATGTAAGAATAAGACCCATTGGGTCTTACTGGCCCCAAATCTGATTTAGTAAAACCAGGTTAAGACAGGACGTTAGCCTTGGCTTCAATGGTTCTGAGCTGTCCCTCAGATAGTATCTGTAGCAGAGGAGCTACTCTCTAAAATTAGACAGTGCATTAGCTAGGTGTTTTTAGGTATCAAATCCTTTGTCTACTTCTCACTAAAAGCTGACTCAAACAGCCTTCTCTTTAGTGACTGCACAGTTAGATTTTGGGGCACAGTGTATTTGCATTGGGCCAAATTGCTACAATTTGCCTCTTTACTTCAAGTGAAGGTTTACTGGGGAAAGAGCAGTTGCAGTCAGGAGCCACCCCTGGGGCCCCAAGAGCACAAACTGTAGCTCACCACCATTCTAGATTCATTCTGTAATGCACCAGCCATTCTAGATTTCCTTCTAACCTACTTTATACACGGTGAATGTTTCACTTCATGCAGAAGGTGATTGTCTCTCATGCATGCAGCACCAGCCTGCACGATGGTTTGGCAGCCCCTGGGCTCTGCCTTTCAAGGCTGAGAGAGGGCTCCAGTCCTGGGGTGTCACAGGTATCAGATATTTGTGCACATGAATGAGGTACACAGTTGCCCCAAATCTGGTATTTGTATGTGCAGCTTGGAAATATCAAATCAAAAGGCAGAGATTTTATAAAAACTTAACTTATAAAAGCAAAAGAATATATGGGCAGAAATCTAATTTCAAATGACAACCAATGTATGTTTGTTTTATGGATATCAGTTATCTACATAGGCCTTGAAAAACACTCAGAAAAAAGCGGAGATGTCCCTTGGTTTTCCTTTTCACCCAAAGACAGCCTAAAGCAGCAGCTTTGGTCATTTGCTTTCCAGAGTTTCTCAGGTTATGGTGTAAGGAGACAAAAGATATCTATGACTGATCCCTGCCTCTCTGCATCTCTGTAATTCATTCCTCTTTCTACTAAGTGTTTTTTTTAACCTTTTCTCATGACTGACTGACTACGTGCTATGCCAGTCCTGGTTTTCCTCCCAGATGGCAAACATCCATCTCCTGGCTGCACTCACTTGCAGGAAGCAGCAAGCCTGCTGCCTCACTCCCCACAGCACTGAAATAAGTGACATGAGACTGAACTTCACTATAACCACAAATGTACATAATCCACTGAAAAGTGTGGGGCCAGGCTTGCATGACAGGCTGCTTGCAGAAGTCTCAGACTTGGGGTGAAACAAAGCACCAGTTTTAGGTGTATATTATGTTGTAGATGGAGGCCACTCATTCCACTGTTAGAAGCACAGGAACACAGAAAAACAGTGTTAGACCCAGCACAAGCAGCTGACCATTGCCATGATGGGATTTATCCTGTAGCACCAGATATTAAAGTCTTTACAGAGTATGCCACCTGCTCAATAAACCCAAGATCAGGAGACACAGACACGCCTGTAGAGATGATAAATAAAGCCCAATAAAAAGTCAGAGTTAATTTCCATCATGAGACCTAGACCCAGGATGGAGGCTCTGTTCTATGCACCCTACAGTCATCACTGCCCTCCTCCTTTGAGGGCTCCTCACCACAATAACACAGCACCCTCTGGAGCGAGACCTGGGAGCTCTCTCGTCAGGCCACAGCAAAGGCCAGCAGAGAGCAGCAAGCCTAAACCTATGAGTCTGAAGTTATTTGAAGACAAAAGCACGCATAGAAAAACCTCCCATTTAAAACATGGGTTATAAAAGCCAAGCAGTTGTGTGCAGTACTGTGATCAAATGCCATCCTCATTCCATCACAGCCTGAAATAGATTGGGTAACAGGCAAACAACTGTAAAAATCCCAAGCTGCTGCCAAGGAACACACAGCAGGCAGCGGCACCGTGCTGGTGCTTCACTTCCAGCACTGTGGAGTCTGTCCAAGGAAAGCCTCCATGGTGCTCCAGGAACACGCTGACTGCCGGTACCTCCAGAAGAACCTTGCTGGTGACCCATACACTGCAAAGGCTCCACAGGCCCCAGCGCTACAGGCTGAGTGTGCCCAGACCTCAACAGCACCCTCAGCTAACAGGACATGGGCAAAAATGCCCTTACTTTGTTTACACAGTCCATAGGATAAAAGCTAGGCACATGATTCACAGTCTTCCCAGATCTTCTGAACCCCTTCTGTCAAGCCTAGGTAGTTCTCCTATTTTAGCTGCTGCCTGCACAGGCTTTGCGAGTGCTGGAGGCTGAAGCTTTGTACCAAGCCCCAGGAGTTCCGTACATTCTGTTCAGAGTGCCAAAGGCACTGAATAACCACTTACGTTTGCATTTGTCTAAACATACCCTAAACATATTGCAAACAAATAGCAGGAATAAGTTTAGCACTCGAGGCACAATTAAAAGCTAAAAACACCCATCAATAATTTGGTCCTTTTTCAAAAAAGACCAGAAAAAGCCAATAAGTATAATTGAAATGGTATTTTTGTACTGCAGCAAAAAACAAAAAATAAAAAGGCCTAGATGTTTGCCAAGAATTTAAAACCTATTTTTAACCAGTCAGTACATTTTATGAGCTTATCTATAGATGAGATAAGCTGCTAAATACAATTTCTGGGCTTTAGAGTTTTTGCTACAGGCATGTTCAATCTCTGTTGCTGCCTGAGCCTGGCTGCTTTCTGCTGCAGCAGGATGCAGAGGTAGCCACCCTCCCAGCAGAGCTGCTGCATTTCCAATCGGATCATGCTCACCAAGGAAAGGAGGCTGGAGTGTTGAGGGTGGGCTTGAGAGAGCCGAGAGAGTCGGGGTGCTGTTCTTGGCAGATTCCCCGTGTGACCTTGAGAGCGACTCAATCGCTGCCCGGATCCGCTTCCAGCCTGGCTGGAACAGCCGCAAACACCACGAGGCTCTCGCTTTCGGCAAGGGAGAAACAGAATGGACTGGGTGAAACAGAAAGGAAATTATGCAGGGCACGAGGATGCACTCACATCGCTGATTTCAAAGATAGCTTGGACTGTGTTTGGAACAAAAGCTCTGACCCACGTAATAAAAGAGAAATAAAGCGCTAAAAAAAAGGAGCAGCATCCCCTTAGTTATTTTATCCCGATGAGCTTTGAATGAGACAGATATTACTGTAATCGAGCGCCTGTGAGGTGTCTGAATGCTGCTGTACCTGATGAGATTCATCCTCCCGACATCCCCGCATGAGGGGAGGAGGAGGCTGAGCCCTGTTTGGTCTGGAGCTGGTACAGAACACTCCCACAGCTAAAGACAGCCCCTGTGCAGCTGTGTGCTGGGCACCAGCGATGTGTTGCTGCAGCTCCGCCTGGTAACAGCACAGGATGCAGCCCTCCGGTGCAAGAGAAACCCCCGCTCACAGCTCCGGGAGATCGAGAGAAACCCCCGCTCACAGCTCCGGGAGATCATCGTGGCACCGAGCCGGGGACCAGCCGGGCTGCCCGGGCACCGCGAGTGTCGCTGCGAGCGCCCCGGCCGTGCCACACAGCCAGACACACACACACACACCGCCAGACACACACCCCCACAGACACACACACACACCCACACACACATTCAGCACACACACACACAGACACACACAGACACAGACACACACACACAGACACACACAGACACAGACACACACACACAGACACACACAGACACAGACACACACACACAGACACACACAGACACAGACACACACACACAGACACACACAGACACAGACACACACACACAGACACACACAGACACAGACACACACACACAGACACACACAGACACAGACACACACACACAGACACACACAGACACAGACACACACACACAGACACACACAGACACAGACACACACACACAGACACACACAGACACAGACACACACACACAGACACACACAGACACAGACACACACACACAGACACACACAGACACAGACACACACACACAGACACACACAGACACAGACACACACACACAGACACACACAGACACAGACACACACACACAGACACACACAGACACAGACACACACACACAGACACACACAGACACAGACACACACACACAGACACACACAGACACAGACACACACACACAGACACACACAGACACAGACACACACACACAGACACACACAGACACAGACACACACACACAGACACACACAGACACAGACACACACACACAGACACACACAGACACAGACACACACACACAGACACACACAGACACAGACACACACACACAGACACACACAGACACAGACACACACACACAGACACACACAGACACAGACACACACACACAGACACACACACACCCCCACACACACCGGCACTCACCGGCACACCCTGCCTGGCCCCAGTCTCTGCCCCGGGCTCGCAGCAGGCTCCGGGAGGAAGCTCCGGCAGCTGCCGGGGTCTCGCTCCGTGCAGCATCCCGGGGTTGCTGTGGCCAAGGGCACTGGGGCTGCTGCAGCGGCCAGTCCTGTCCTGCTCCACCCCAGGTTAACAACAGCCACGCTCTCAGTCTCTGTCTGCACAAGATTGCCTCGGCTGCTGCCCAAAGCCAAGATCCTGCTCTGGGTGACTTCAGGAAGCCATCAGCTCTGACCACAGCAGGATTTCATTCCTCTGGAACAGAAGGCTCAAATTTGCACATCTTACACCCCATGCCCGTGCTTCAGGATAAGGACACACCACAGATCACACCTGAAAAGTGACTATTTAATCCTAGAAATTTTTTCCAACCTAAACAATTCTATGGGTCTGTAAGACTGCTCTGCCTGGAACACAGGCCTCAGCCTTTACTGCAATAAATGGGAGTTTCCACGGAGAAGAAACCAGTCACCACCTGCTGTGTTCTGGGGTTGTTTTGTATCTACATTCACAAGACCACTGTCATCAGTTATGTAGGTCTGTGTCAAAGCTGATTTCAAAACACTGCCAGCCACAGCAGCAGAGACACGCTCCCGTCTGATTGCCACATACAGTTCCAAAGCCCAGGCAGATCTCAGAGTGCATCCTGCAGCCTGGATTCACAGCTCCACCTCAACATGCCACTGCATGCCTTATTGCAGCTGCCTCCTCTTCCTGTGCACCACATAATCTCACACCTACTGTTTTCACTCCTTTACTTCTAGGTTAGCTGTACCTTTGCTGAGCAGAAATACTGCAATTCCAAGGAAAGCAACAGCGACAAGTCACTTCAAACAGCACCAGTAGCCACGGCTGCTAACACATGGCATTGCAAGGCTGCTGAGCAGGGCCTGTCATTATCATTTTACAGATAGGAGAATAAACCCCTTCAGAAGGCAAAGATGCAAACTAGCACTTTCCAAGTCACCAGATTAGCTGCTTTTGAATGCCAATAATCACTTGCATTTGCTCTCCATTTACCTCATTAATTCCAGACAAGAGTCAGTGACTCACTCTCCCCTCTGTCCCTGAACAGCCACAGCTCACCCCTTGACCAGTCCCCAAACACCCTGGTATTGGACAACCTCTATGACAAATCAGTTACACGATTAACTCGATTTGAATCAACTCTGTACCTCACCCCAAATGAGGTGGTGCACAAAGGGACCACCTGTTTGAAACCCTGCTCTGACATACACTAGTCACTGAATCCATCTTTGTTTGCTTTTTAATATTTTTAAATGTTCCTTCATTTTAGTCTACATTTTTCTTAATAAATTTATTTTCAATATCGAAAGAGGTGCTTCTACTAAGACTGTTTCTACTGTTGTGCTGAAGCCGTGGAGGAATTCAGGTGAAGGTCTCCTTTTAAGTAAGCTTTTAAGTGTATTCCAAACACTGAAAACCACATTGTCCTTCAGAAGCAGCTGACCAGCGACATTAGTCAGTGCTGCTCTGTGCTCCACCACCGTCTGTTCGCAAGAGCTGGAAATGCTCCGTGGACAGTATGGGATGCAACAGGGCAGACAATGAACACAGACTCTTGTGTCCACCTAGTTGTGTGGGGATACATTTGTACACAGGTTTCTTTTAAACAGTAGATAAGTCTATGGCTACAAATACAAAACTAGCTTTTCAGGTGGCAGCTTTTAGGGAGCTGGCAGTGAATCACAGCTTGCTTCTGTGGCCAACACCTGCTTGTTGATGACGGAAAGGCACAACCAGATAATGCTGCTACTGCAGGACAAGTCTGATCAGCGCAGCCCTGCACTCACTCAGGGAACAAAGCACCCATGCACAGACACCTCCTGGTGTCTGCCAAGCACCCACATGGATGCTCTGTGTTTGTCCAGTGCTCCGTCCTGTAGTCGTGATCTTCTGAACCTGAGCAATATTCACGCTCTCAGATGCTGACTATTCCCAAGGGAAAGTGTTGAGAACCATTCTCGCTCAAAGATTGTTTGTGTAAATAAGGAATTACTTCCCCAAAACAAGGCACAGATGTTCTGAGCGTGTTTTTCTCTCTTATCCCACCAGTAGGACGAGATGGGTGTTATTCCTTCTACCAATCAGGGTGACCTGTTGGGAGAAGCTTTTAAAAGGGTTGACAAGACCCCGCAATAAAGGCTTTTGCCTCACGAAAAGTAACTGTGTTAACCCACAGGGCTGGTCTTTGGGGAGAACCCACAGCCTCTGGAAGCACAAATAATCACCAGAGATCGCTGCTGTTGGTCCTGCAGGTGCCAGGCTGATCAGAGCAAACAGCTGACTGAAAGGTGCTTTACTTTGACCTAGCAGACTAGTAAACTGTGGTTGAAACTACTCAAAGGTAGAAAATAGATAGACAAAGCCAACTAAAACCAAGTTATCTTTTCTTATGTAAAGCATCAGTTGTTCCCACTCACATGGCTGACAACTGCTGGCCTGTCTCTCTAAGCAGGGACTATTACAGAGGCTCTCCAGAACCTGCCTGGCAAACTGGAGCTTTGGGGTTGTGCAAACTGACTCACACTTGAGAGTGAGCAGAGATCTGTTCTGCTGTTTTGACAGTGGAAATAAAGCAAAGCTTCACAAGTAAAGATGTTATGGGCCAAAGTCCACACATGACATTAGCAAGTGGACCACGTGCCAGCCTGGGAGGAACATCGCTGCTGCACAGCAGAGCCCCAGGGCTCCTCTTCCCTCTTCCAACAGCCTCTCCGTGCCAGCACAGCCCCATGGCAGGGCAGGACGGGTTCTGTGGCAGGGCAGGAGGGCTCTGCTGCCAGGAGGAATGGCAGCACTGGGACTTTCTCCATACTGAGAGGTGAAACAACTCTACATCAATTGGTGTAATGCATTTCTATACACTTCTGTTACAGAAGTGTACAGTGTCTCCTGTGCTGTCCAAGGACCCAAGCTGTTGTTGAGATGCAGATTCAAATTAACTCAAGGTAAAAATTAGTATCAGTCACTGCTTTACAATTCAAATTCATGTGAAGAAGCCAAACTCTAAATGCAAAATCAGATCAACCCAGATTCACAACCAGATCTTGCACATAAACAAAGCAAGCTTGCTCAATCATGGATTCGTGCCACTTTCAGTGTTTTTCTAGTCTTGCCATGCTCATCCTGAGCTATGGACCCAGGGGAGCAATGTGCCTGATGCTCTACAATCACACACATACTGTGGTGTTTCCCTTGTGTTTCTGCTCTCTCTCCCCACAAGTACAAGGGTGTTGCACATGCAGTGTTTGGAATAGCCCTACCTGCTTCAGGGCTTCACCTCACAGCTGTCTCTGGTTTACAGCACTGCCAGGCTACAACTATCCCACCTGTATTTGTCACGCCAAGAGTCTATCTCAAATGGAACTATTTGGACTTGTGAAAAACAAAACAGGTAGTTTTAAAAACAGGGAATAAGATGGTGCTTTAATTAGATGAACATTAACCACGACAGCTTCAGCAGAAGGTTTGGCAGATGAGGAACCAGCAAGCCACAGAGGAACAAAACCCAGAGAGAAGTAC